AGGGTTGGTGAGGAGCAGCTCATAAGGTTTTGTTTGTTTGTTGTTTTACGCCGCACTCAGAAATATTTCAGCTATATGACGGAAGTCTTTGCATAATAGAATCTGGACCAGACAATCCAGTGATTGATATCATGAGCATCGACCTACGCAACTGGGATACGATGACACGCATCAACCAAGTCAGCGAGCCTGACCACCCGATCCCGTTAGTCGCCTCTAATGACAAGAATGGGTTGCTGAAGACCTAGGGTTCAGCAAGATTCCTGCAACATCATTTAAGGGGACAGCAAGAATGGCTTCACACATTGGTACATGTGGGGAATCGAACCCCTGCCGTCAGTGTGAGGAGCGAACTCATTAACCGCTTGGCTAACCCTACGTCCCGGCATATGAAGTAGTAGGACAACAGTGCGTAACATCTTTTAAACATCTGTGTATGTGATTTTGAAATTTAGATTAACTGGAAGTGATACCTTTCTTCGGTAGGTTTTGTTTTGCCGCAAATATTGTTAATGTGTTGTGAGTGATTGAGTGAGTTTGGTTTTACGCCACTTTTAGCAATATTCCAGCAATATCACGACGGGGACACCAGAAATGGGCTTCACACATTGTACCCATGTCGGGAATCGAACCCGGTTCTTCGGCGTGACGAGCGAACGCTTTAACTACAAGGCTACCCAACCGCCCCGTTTATGTACTGACGCACGCCAATATCCTCTTTTCGGTTCATAAATACTAAAAAGGGTATCATATATTTCACGGACTGTTACTATTGCCATTTTCCGTCTTTTGGGATAACATGAAATGTGTGTGTGCGTGTTGTGTGTGTGTGCGTATGTGTATGTGTGTGTGTGTGCGCATGTGTGTGTTTGCGTATGTGTGTGTGCGTATGTGTTGTGTGTGCGCGTATGTGTGTGCGCGTATGTGTTGTGTGTGTGCGTATGTGTGTGCGTATGTGTGCATAAAATGATAATCTCGGCGTGTGGCTGCTTTTACTGGTCCTGCTTGTGGTGCAAACCCACTGAGATACCATGTCACTGTTAAACAAAGATACCCGACTCAGATACAGTAGACTCCGACCCGACCAGTCTTTGTTTCATACCTTTATTCTGAACGCAAGGCAGGGTAACAACAAGTACAATCCTTTGGGGCCTCGAACAATGGACCTTCCTCACCCAGGACAGACGGTCTGTCCACAAAGTCACGGAGGCGAACCCACCTCTTGTGATCACCGTTTTAACATCAATACCACCAACGGCACACATTAATACAATACTATTCGAAGGAAATCATGATTGAATCAATGCAGTAACTATTCCAGAAGGTAATCTACATGAAAAGGTGGCTGACGACAAACCTCATCATAAATTCGTCCTCACCACAATCAGCCCCTTGTGAATATGATCTGAAATCAGATTTAGCCAAAGCACACGTGCTGCACGGGATAAACGTGGCATACCAAGCTTCCCGTGCCGTGAAACGATAAACAAAGACATACAGCACGAGGAAAACATGCGTGCGCGTGCATCATTACCGCTAGCCTTGCTCTAAGGCTGCTCTGAAAGACACGTCAATGGATGTGTAGTAATTCTATCCTCCTCATAGACAAGTCGGGGTAAACGCAAGTCTACATTACGGCGCGCATGCTCAACAAAGTGCATCACGTTTCTCGGTCAAAAATGGTAAACATGGTGATGTAATATTGAAAACACGTGGAAATTGTGCGCATGCGCACGTCAGAGACAAAGGAGTCTGTTTCATTATCAAGGTTATATCATGAGACATGAAAGATACATTGTTTGCGTTAATGGAACTTATCTTTTTTAGGAAAATAGCAATCTTGTGTTCGACATGTTCCTTGTGAAATGATTATGTCAGCAATGTGGGAATTTCTCATAACGCAGATGTAAAAGCGTTTTACTCAAATACATGTGTGTTTTGCCCTATCAGCAAAACAACAATATTTTTTGAGCCACGTGAACTTCCGACGCCGAAAGCATTTGCATATAACTTGTGATATTTCTAACAGTCCATGGGTGGGTTAGCCGAGTTGTGAAAGTGTTCTTTCGTTACACTGTAATCCTTGGTTCGATTCGCTGTATGAGTACAATCACAAATCGGGCGGTTGGGTTGATTTGTTTGTTTGTTGTTTGACGCCGCAGTGTCAGCAATATTAAAGTTATATCAGGGTAGCCTGAAGATAATCAGGACCAGACAAACCAGTGATTGATGTTGTGAGGAAACTGTCGGGGTACGATGACACTCAATCAACCAAGTCACCCGTTCCATTAAATCGCCTGACCCGTGAAGATCCGAGTTAGAATTGTCTACAGCAACCCATGCTTGCCCTAAGAGGCGAATAACGGGATCGGGTGGTCTGGCTTGCTGACTTTGTTGATCCATGTCATCGTACCTCAATTGCGTATGCCGATGCTCATATCAATCACTGAATTGTCTGGTCCAGACTCGATTAATTACAGACCTTCGTCACATTGCTGGAATAGTGCCTAGTGTGGCGTTAAACAAACGATTGAGTGAGTGAGTGAGTGAGTGAGTGAGTGAGTGAGTATGGTTTACGGCGCTTTTAGCAATATTCCAGCAATATCACGGCGGGGGACACCAGAAATGGGCTTCACACATTGTACCCATGTCGGGAATCGAACCCGGGTCTTCCGCTTTAACCACTAAGCTACCCGACCGCCCCTAAACAAACGAACAAACAAACATAAAGTCGCCTCGTACGACAAGCATAGGTTGCTTGGGGCCAGTTTTAACCCGAATTTCAAGGGCTGTAGTTCTGCAAGTTAAAGCAATGGCTCCAAAGACTGGGCTGGATTTCCTTTGTGGAAACACTGCGTGAAGCCCCGCCCTGGCTGCAACAATGCTTCACAAGGCAACAAGGCACCAAGTAAGGGCTTAATATAGTTTCAGATAATACTTATCCCTATTTCAGCCGAGCGCCTCCGTGTTAAGTGGTTGGAGCGTCCTCGGTGGGCGTTGGTTCGATCTTGTGCACATCATACGAAAAGAAGCTAAATGAAGATAATTGTTGTTACCCTGCCTTGTGCTCGGCATTTAGGGGATAAAACAATGACTGGTCGGCTCGGTGCCAGTATACTGTGGGCTATCTCAGGGGGCTAGCACTGTGAACCGGCATTAGTCCGTACCAGTACAAGCAGCCACACACACGTGCATTCACGTCTCTACATAAGTGCACTCATCTTGAACGCGACGTTAAACCCCATTTGACCTCACCTCATTATTTCTGCCTCGAAACTGAGAGATTTCAGGATTCCTCAAGTCTCGAAGGCTTCTTTCTGGAACGTCGTACAAAACGCAGAAATGAATTTGAAATCAGCATGAAAAAGGTAAGGATGGGAAGCCGTTGGGCGTCGTGTGGTCGCCCCGTGCGTGACGGGGAGCAGGTGCGCGTCTGGGGTCGAGGCAAATAGCTTGATCCTGGGGATTAGAGAGTTTTGTATCCCCTCTTGGGGAGAAATCGAAGCTGTCCTCACATAAGTCGTCTAAGGCGCTGCAATTCGCTTTTCAGAGTTGCGTTCCTTTGGCACGCCAAGAACCTATGATTGTGGGTTCGAATCCCGGTTCGCCCCGATTATGTTTCTAGGTTTGTCAGCGCAATAATCGTGCCCGTTGGTTCCACCAACGTGGTAAACGTCTGAGACCTGCACCACTTCGGGCTTTCCTCCCACATTAAGCTGACACGCCGTGATATAACTGGAATACTCTTACCAACCTTATAGCAATGAAGCATTACAGCAATTGTCACAAGTAAATGAAACACTATACATCGTGAGATCATGGTGCTTTCTTCAAATAAATACATTATGCTAAAAAGATATGTCTCTTATTTGCATGGTGTTTACACGAAAAACACAATTATAATGTATCTATCTTAATTCCGTGAATAATTAGTGGGGTCGAAGGTCTTTTGTTTTCGCACCCCTTAAGAAAATCCGGATTCTGGTCAGAAAAGGCCCCCAGTACCCCATGTTTACAGAAAGAGCTGATTAAACTTAAGATCCGGTTGTAAGAATGTGTGAATCCCCGTAGAATTGGTCTTCAGGAAAGCCCACCATTGTCGTAAAAAACGACTTTGCTTGTCGTAAGAGACGACGAACGGTTTCGGTTGGTCTGGCTCGCTGACTTGGTTGATGCATGTCATCGTATCCCACCGGATCGATGCTTGTGATGTCAATCACTGGATTGTCTGGTCCAGACTCGATTATTTTTTTACAGATCGCCATCATATAGCTGGAATATTGCTCAGTGTGGGGATATAATACAACGACAAACAAACAGACAATGCGTGACCTGGCTGATTGTTTGTCCCCCACCCCGACGACGTGTTAATGCTATCAAACATGAGTAAGTCAGCTTTGATACAGCTGGAGTGCGGCGTAAAACAACATTTAATCACTCGCCAAAGAATATATTCTGCAACACATCCATTCAACGAGTCATTGATATTAATGTGTGCCACTTCATCTTGACCCGCTAAAAACTATGCAAAATGAAATGATAATTCATATTCAAAGTAAGTAAACAGTCGAAAAGAAACACGGGAATCAATAGTCTGAGATCCACGCGGAACCCTATGATCACAGATATATGAGATCACACCCGATGGTGAATACAAATCACACTTATTATGGATAGTGTTCCACTCGTACCTTATTGCATAATGTAAGTTGTACAGCAATAACTCTTTATTTCCCTAGAGTCATATGGAATTCTCGCACTACCGTCATTCAACAGGCTCTATGACAGGCGGCATGCTGACACCAACAGAGAGACGGTGCTGTTGTTCAAAACATGCAGACTAGTTAATCCCGTGATTGAGTGGAGTTGGCGAAGGCGGCAAAGACTGGTCCAAGTCCTTGATTGCGACTGCTTATGTTGAATGCACGGAAAATATATACACATTGTACCACATATGCTTGAACGTAACGTGCGTGTACCACTCGAGATAGTCGACTACGAGCGCGACACTCAATTATCGATTCTCAGTTCTTCCCAAGGCTTGGTTTGGTAAGGTTCATTGCCAAAGTCCCAATCTGCGTGCTATTGGTATCACATCTCTGTCAGCGCTCGCCCTGACACACTTAATTAATTTCTGTCACACGCATTGACAGTAAGGTCTTTCTCCGCACCGACATATTCTGTCGACTCGAAGACATACTTGTCACAAGCAAGCGCCTCCAAGGGAATCACCTCGCATCTTGTGTTACTAAAAAGAGTGAGGTCTTGGGACATCTGCTTTTGTCACCGATGAACCAAAACATTCCTTCCCGCCAAAACGCTCCGAGCAGACGACAACGTTCCGGGTCCATTGAGCTGCAGATCGCTGGCTTACGGTCATATCGGGCCGCTCAGTTTAAGCGGTGGTCAGTTATCCAGCGTCTGTGTATTTGAATCCGTACAATAGCACGGTAAAAATAGCGAACAGAGCTAAGCCGTGGGGAAACCCAAAGCATCTCTATTTTCTCGGCTCCTCAGCGAGTGCAGCGAGCGCCGCATCATCCCTGCATCCCGTTCTGGCTTCACAGCGGTGTGTTCCAAGTTCGCACCTGGAAACTAACTAACTTCGGAACTATGCCAACGGAAGAAACAGAAATGGCGCCGACAGTAGCGATCGAGACGGTGGTGATCGTTCGCCCGTTAAAGGTAAGGATCTTACTTTTTTTCTCTCCCTAGTTGAACGTCATCTTTTCTGAGATATATGGGCTCATGGATGTGAAATATTAACCGCTAGAATGTGACTGAAGTCGCAAACACAGCGACTTGGATGATATGGTTTGGTTGACCTAGAAAGCGATCTACATGTGTTCCAGGATATCCGACTCCGCCAGAACAAGGCTTGGGTTTCGGTCTTTACCTGTTAGATTCTTCAATGTCAAATGCCTATTTTAGCTTCTACTGGGGGTAATGTTTGAGTTTGTACGAGCTACAAGTGCAGTAATCAAATTAGTACATGCACTTGAACGGCCCTTGCTCTGTGATATATCTATGAGTTGGGAGGCTACGGTGTAATGTTGCCAAGTATGTTGGTAGCACCTGCTTGTATTTCGCTCAAGGGGTTGTGACTATTGTTTGTGCTCGTTTTGCGTCCTGTCTCACTTAACCCGTTCAGGAGGTGAATAGTTCCTACATTTAAATTTAGCAGAATCGATTTGCCAACTGGTAAAACTGAGCGATTGTTATCGTCAATATTTCATGGGGTCTTTTATCAATATCTCCTGCATCTAGAATTCTGCCCTCAGAAGAACGAATAGGTTATGATCAAGCTCGCTAAGAGTTGATGTGTGCAGACCATGCATCAGCCGTTTGATTCTCGATCCATATGTCTGCTCCATGTAATACCCACACGCACAGGGGTTGACAGCCGCACATTTAATCATTTCGTTATGACTGTTTTTAAGAGATAAGTCGGAACAGTTTTTGTAAACGTCGTGACACAACTATTTTATGATATTTACAATCTTCAATGTATTCAATGTGTCGTGCATGACTTAAAGAAATGTGCCTCGTCCAGTGATATTCGTAAGAATCTTTCTTGAACAATCGAATACACCTTGTATTTTATGTTTCACTCATCAGATGAGAACTAACACTTACAAATCATGAAATGTATTGCATATTACAAAGCCCAAGACGCATGCCTTATATATCTTATCCGGGCGGTCGGGTAGCCTAGTGGTTAAAGCGTTCGCTCTTCACGCTGAAGACCCGGGTTCGATTCCCGACATGGGTACAAAGTGTGAAGCCCATTTCTGGTGTCCCCCGTCGTGATATTGCTGGAATGTTGCTAAAAGAGGCGTAAAACCAAACTCACTCACTCACATCGTCCTCGTGAACGTGTGTTCCACCATACCCACACACAAGTGCACAGGCACAGGCACAGGCACAGGACAACAGTAACGAGAACACACTGACGCATTCACACACTTACACACATAACATGTGATGACACATGCATATAAAACATGTTTAACCAGGAGCTTGTGTCGGAGTACTTTACCTTGAACCAATACGATTGGAACACTTTTAACCTCAAATGGGCTTCTCGTGTTGAATATTTGATTTAGAAGTGAACCCTAACTCTCATTCTACACTTACGCATCCTCTAGCGTCAATGAAGTAGTTATCAGTCGACCAACATCATCATTCACGGTTACAAAGATGAGCATCTAACAAATCTATCCGGAATAGTAGTATCATTTTTAGTAAGGCCCTGTCGCATAATGTGTGTTACCTTATTATATAATCTTCGTATCTTTGACTAAGTGATTAATCACACGTACCTTCCACGAGACAATTTGCATTCTGACTAACGGAATGTCGCCCGTGAACACGAGAACACTTGTAATATTCCTGGAACAGCGACTTACTCTGATGAGGTATTTTATAGTCATACATGCCATGCGTGCGAATGGTTTTGCCGGTGGCATACCTCACCAACGTGCCACTTCTTGTGTGTGCCCTACCCCCTGCTCCTCACTACAGTCGTTGATGTTGTGTGATGCGATCCACGTGCATGTCAAGAACGACTACCGTATTAGTTCTAGTAACATGTAGTAACACGTGGGCCTGTAGTTTTCCTTTTTATGTGTTTAGGGTATGAGAGGGCAATGTATGAATTTGCATGCACAATATTTTAAAGAATAGTCTCTATAAATACGTTCAGTCTGTCCAAAAAAATGATGGGAAGGGTAATTGGAAGCGAAGTTGTGTTTTTATACCTTACATACCGTTGTGCAAATTGTCAAGCAATAGTTCTACTAGAAACTGTCGTTGTGTTACAAATGCCTGGCTGCGCTTTCTTTTGTGTAATGATAGTGAAAAAGAGTCTACAACGTATTTCTAATTTCAGTAACGCTTTGTTTGTTTGTTGTTTAAAGACGCACTCAGCAATATTCCAGCTATTTCCAGATTTTCGCAGATTCTTCAATATTTCATTGTATGACATAAATAGCATAACATTCACAGTGCCCCCTAGCCAATATGTTTCTGCCCCGCAAGATCCATCTTTGATGCAGCATCACTGCAGCATAGTATCTCAGTGGGCTAGCACTATAAATCGGCATCAGTCCGGTCGAGTCAGGCAAACACCCGCACGTGTGTCGCTATATAAGTGAAATACTCTTGGACGCTACGTTAAACCCCATGTCACCTCACCTCATCTTGATCCTTCCCTCCATCAGATGAATAACAGGATGGAGAACATCTATCTCACACACACACGCACGCACGCACGCACGCACGCACACACACACGCGCGCGCGCGCACACGCACAAATGAAGCCAGTTATAGTTGGATACATACACGTGACAATGTTGAAGGGACACAACTGAGAGGGAATTGATGGACATGCCAGATGTTATCGTGGAGTGGGTACAGCGCAATGTGTCTCTACAATAGATTAAATGAGTTAAACAGTAAAATGAAATTAAATTCCCCAAGAATTGGGGAGGAAAACTCGATTAAATAAACACCCATTGTTGCCCGACATCACCAGTCTCCTATTTAAGTACTGGTCCGAATTCTGTCGTAGTGATTCACCAGACTGTTATACTTCCGATGAGAACCGCTATAATAAATTATGTATTTGTATTTCCCACCTTGCTGAACAACCCCCCCCCCCCCCCCCCCCCCAGGAAAATAAGGAACCTTCTAGAAACATCTTAGTCACACAGTCCCTGAAAGATTTTATTTCCCTTTCCGCCAAACCCTTACTGTAATGATATAGCCCTCAATGAACCGAGTCTCGATTTTCTACAGGTTCGGAATCTCACTGGGGCTCCTTTTCACTTTAAATGTAGTTGTTTGTGTCTATTAAAATATATATTTAGATACATCTTTACGGACAGTCGATACGACAAAGTTATGCAATCATTATGTGACGAACTACCTGCCCTTTTACATGAAATACCGAGAATATAAATTACACTATTAAACTGTTCATTGCCCTGAAATGTTTTCGCTCATCAATTAAACATATCTCACGTGACAATTACCGATTCCTTGAACATTCATAATTGAACCATAGCCATTTTGGACCGTTTTTATCTTAAAAACATATTAAATTGAAATAGTACCTGGGTATTGTATTGCACGTATTGGTCAATCTGACAGGTCAAAAGGTCAAGTTGTGGAAAGATGTCCATGTTAGCTACAGGCCACCTGGTGAAACATCTGGTATTCATCTGGAAACAAGGTAGTCTCCGTGGCTGTGGTCGTGAATGTGTCCAAAGTGTTGGTCGTCCCACACGCTTCACAATGACCCTTTTATTCATGCTTGTATTTCGTCCTGGATCTCCTGTCCACTAAGGAATATACTGTATGCTATATACTTCACCAGGTAAAGAATGTTTGACTGTGGATTTTGTGCCATGGTTCTCGTTTGGTATGGATAAGCGGTCGTTGGCTTACCAGAATGAAGACGTGTCTACACATTAGGAAGTGGGTCTGGTTCACCATGGCTTGCAGTCTTCGCTTGGTTGTGCTTTCCTTATGCGTCAATGTACAATGAATTGGGATGGATTAATTAGCGAAGGACTCACTCGGGTGTTAAAATAATAGTCAAAGAAATAGATGTGTGGTTTAAACATATTTGGACATAAATACGATGCACATGTAGATTTATCATTTTTATACATACAGTAAAGAACGTTTATAACGAAAACGCTTATAACGAACTGACCGATATAACGAACGTATTTTTTAGTCCCGACCATTTGTTGTATAGATGCTGTATATATGCCTACAACGAACTACTGTTATTTCGAACTAAAATTAGTGGTCCCTTTGAGTTCGTTATAACCGTTGTTTACTAAATGTAAAATATCTCGATGTCAGGAACATGTATGTCATAAGGAATATTTTAATTCATAATTATTGATTCAGTTATCTCGACTCATACCGGTAATTCAAGATTCATATTACATGTCTATATGAAACCAACTATGTCCAGATGCTCCGGTGGTTAAAGACGCATAATACATGTCTATAAGAAACCAACTATGTCGAGATGCTCCGGTGGTTAAAGACGCATAATACATGTCTATAAGAAACCAACTATGTCGCGATGCTCCGGTGGTTAAAGACGCATATTACATGTCTATATGCCACCAACGATGTCGAGATGCTCCGATGGTTAAAGACGCATATTACATGTCTGTGGCTCTATCGAAACTTTGGCAACTTTGGAATCTACGTGCATTTGAACAAACTATTCTAAATTTGAAGGCTTCTATCTTCGGTTAGCGTCAACATGGCGTCCATACAAACCTCATCCGTAAGTAGGGAGGCATTTGTAGTCCACGAATGCATGTATATATTGTACCAGGTACCCTCCACATATGACATCGTATCTCATGAACAGATAGTACTATCGTGAGCACCACCTGTTGTTTATAAAGTATATGCGTTAAGACGTGTCCGTCTGATGGCCATTGCTGTCTTCCCCACACTACTTTCGACAGCTCTGGCACCTCTATAGCTGCTTGTTTATCTAGGCAGGCTGGGAGTTTTCGCATCAATCCCTGTACTTCAGTGTATATATTCGCGCATATGGCCACATGTGTTTTTGGTGTAAGGATCCACTGTTTTCTTTACTCTTGGTGTTTCCATCAATATAATTTCATCCCTATACTTTCGTACATAT